CGCCCCGGCGCCGCTCCCACCCGCGCCCTGCGGCCGCCGCGCTCCCCCGGTGCGGGATTCCTACAGACAGGGCTCCGCTCCCCGGCCGTGCGTCTCCCCACCGAGCTGCACACGGGGAAGGGCGGCGGGGAGGCGCGCAACGCAGGACGCGAGCGGGAGCAAGACAACTGTTTATTTCGGTAGCCGTGTTTACAGTGCATTTTTATTCCTAGGCACACGCGCCGCTCCAGGTCTTTGCCCCGTTAGGAAGTGCAAATCGACGCCAAGCCCTTCCCGGTGCACACAAAGAGACCAAGCGTGCGCATGTGTCTAATCCTCCGCCGCCGGAGAGGCGAAGCAGCCAGGCGAGGCAGCCGGTCCTCTGCTGAAGCCGCGTCGAAGACCAAACCCAGTCGTTTGATTTATGCCTGCGTTTTAGTGAACTATGACTAAAACTGCCTCTTGGCTCTTTACTGGGGAAATACAGACTGTAGCTCTTAGCAGTGGGTGCACTGAAATGTTCAACTCCTAAAAACAAAGGAGAGAACTTTCCTCCTTAATGTAGGAACGCAGACTTAAAAGTGGATTTTTCTCTATTACAAAGACATTTTGATTTTTGAAATATCATTTTATAAGGTTCAGAGAAAGAGGTTTCCAATTAAGATAAACGTATAGAGATTTAAACATGTACCTTCATTTCTAAAGCATTTATATTAAATAAATGTTAGCTCCTGCTAATTGCACAAAGCAGAATTTTTCAAGATTTTAATTTAAAATACCTTAGCCTCCTCGTTTGGGACATAATCATGTTAAGACAGGAAGGGAACTGAATTTGATTGAAGGGAGGAAAACTATGAAAGCTTTTAAGACACGTAGCTTACCCTTCACCCCATTCTCCTGAGCACCCCAAGGATGACTCTGTCCCAACCTTAGCAAGAGTCTCATCTCCGGCTCACACTGCCCAATGGAAATTCTGAGCCGCCATTCACCTGTGTAGTGGGCACGGGGGTGGGGGCGCTGCCCACCGTGCAAACTACCAGGTTCTGGGCAGACACTTCCCTTGGCAAAGTCCATTGGGTAATCACTCTGAAATGAGCTCTCCATGACCTTCCCCGGGATATTTACATAAGCCTCCTATCAACTCAGTGTGATTCCCTCCTCTAAATGCCTGAGGTAGACTTGTTTTCTATTCCACTCACTTGTATTTCAGATATACCTTTCCATTACTTTTTAACATAAAGACTGCTTCCAACTTATAAAAGCTCTAAAAGAACATGATTTCATTCATCTGCTTTATCAAACACAAGGATTAAATGGAGCATACTTGCCATTTAAGGAGAAGGAAACTGAGTCCCAGGAATGTTCTGTAATAGAGCCAAAACTTCAACACTGACCTCGTCTACAATAACTCTTATCGTCGTTAACCTCCACTTCCATTTGTACAGTAACCTGCTTCCACAGAAGTCAGGGACTCCTTTTGTTGCAGTGACAATTTTGTATTTACGTAATGATGAGCTACAGGTGGTAACCAGCACTTTTAAAGATTCTATAGTGAATGTGCCTACAATCATATGTTAATGAAGGTCTTTGTAACACAGTGTTTAAAAGATTTAAATATTCTCCACAACTTACTTTTCATTTTTAAGTTTCTGATATAGTAATCATGCGTGTGTCCCTCCTTTCGTGCTGTTTGTTTTCCCCTGGAAAACACAAGGTCCCTTCTCATATATATTTTTTTTCCCAGTGCTGGTGTGGTTGACTGTAACCTTGTAGAATTATTTAATATATTCACGTAGGTAGCACATTTCCTGTTGACCATCTACATAACTTGGAAATTTGATTACAGTCTTTTTTCAAGCCCATAAGAGATGTTGTGCATATTCCACTAATTTACTGTGAAAGAAACACAATGTCTACCTCTCCGACTGACTAGAGAGTCAGTTGTCAACTCCATTCATAGATTATAAAATATAAGTTACATATAAGCTAAAAATGTAAAATATAAAGATTCTCAGCAGGCTTCTACACAATGGTTTTAGCTGCTGATGAGGGTCATTGCTTAAATGCATTATGTCATTAGTGATTGTAAAGTTATGATTTTCTAATTTTATTTTAATTCTTCATTTATGAGTTGTTGTTCTCTTATTAAACATAGAACAAACTGAAAATTTTCCTTGCAAACTATAGGCTTACCCTGAAGTAGATACCCTATGAAAAAGGCCAGGTATGTGCTTATTAGTTTTATCAACTATTAATTATTCTGTTATGAGGTACTTATTAGTTTTATCAATTTTCAGAAATATCAGATGGATTCTCACAAACTCAAAAGGAAACCCAGCTCCCTTCAAAACATCATTATTAAAAATGTAGTTTTTGCTTTTGATGCGTTTCTATCCCCTGTGGTAATTATTCTTTATAGTGTTTGCACCAGAAGGAGCTGTTTTACTTGATATTCTTGTGTTTTTAAAAGGCATTTGAAGACCTTACTAGTCTTAACACAGGGTTTCTCAGGCTCATCTTGTGTGCTTCCAATTCCAAGCCTAGAGTTCATTCTTTGTGCTGGAGAACGTTGGGGTTTATAACTAATGTGTTTCACAAAGCTCTCATGAGCTGAGGGGTAGGGTTTTTCTAAAGGGATTGGATCCTGGGGCCTCCGGGGAACGTTTACATGAGGCTTATCCAAACATTTTTGGGTTTACGGGAGACAGATAATTTATCTCACTAGTGTCAAAGGTTCATGCAAAATAAATACACTTCTTCCTCAGGAGTGTCAGCTCAAAAATATTATCCAGTACCTATGTCAAACTCAAATGCTGGAGAAACAAATAGAATCCATTTTATTCATTCATTATATTATTAATACTTGCTTTTGGGGAAAAAAACCTGAGTTATGACACCTGTAACGTGAAATTATCAAAAGAGGTGTCTATACAATGCATCCACCTCTGAAGTCTGTCTGAGATTTACCTTCTCAGGTCCCTTCAACCTCTAATGTTTGAATCTGAACATTGGAACTTATATCTTGTTTTTCTTTTCCTATTGCTGATGATTTGCTGAATGTCACAGTTAATATTTCAAGGATACTGACTACACTTGCAGTTCAATCTAGTGAACTCAGTCACCTGAAGTTTAGGGTTTTAATTCTTCCACCTTTTATGTACTGCTTCTCATATTGACCTTACATTCCTCCACTCTGAGTGAGGAACCTGTTCTTCCTCTAAGACCCTTAATGTTGGTGATTGTCCATAGTTTCCACTACTGCAGATTTTAGGGTACATCTTATCAACTCGTTACAATAAGAGATTGTGTGTAGACTTTCTTTTTTGCTTTTTTCCTACTACACTTGCAATTTTTGCTTATGTGAAAAGGTTTAACATATTCAATTTGTTTTGTTGCCCACCTGAAGACCATCTTTCAGAGTGCCACTCTGAACTGGTACAGTATTTGTGATGGAAGACTTTCATATTTAAATATTTCATTCATTTATTTACATTCATTCTCAGAGTGATGATATAACTACATTTCTTCTCATGTTTAATGACATATTGAATAGATCTCAATTTAATTGATTTTAATGACCTATATATTGCATGTTAAAATAAATATTCTTGCCCTTCTGTGTGTGTACTTCTACTTAGGTGAAAAGAAATCTATATTTATTACAGAACTGCAGAAATTTAGTCATTGATAATATCTACATTGTAGCATATTTATCTATCTGGTAGAATAATAAGTGACAGTATAAGTTCATCCCTTATCCCAATGTTTGCAATATTATTTTCTTTTTCAAAAGTTGTGATACTATAAAGTGAATCTATGCTGCCCCCAATTTCCTACTGAATTTTCCTGAAACTATATGAAAGAAATCTTTCACTGAAAAAGTTTATAAATAAAATATTGAGTGTTACCATTTAGAAACATCAGCTTGCTTTTTCATGTCATTCTCTTTGAAAAAAAATTGCGGTTTTCTTCATAGATATCAAGTTTTTATATTTCTTTTTTAAATTCCCTCTCTTTGGTGTCTTTGGTATCAGAAATAATTGTTTTGTTTCTGAAATTTTATAAGTAGTAGATTGTAAGTAATACCACATAATTGAAACATCTTATTTGCAATGCAAGTCAATTCTATTGCATGTCTTCTGCAAATATAATTTAATCTCCTATGAAATATTTTTGTCATAACATTTTTTTCATCTTCTTGGAATAGATGTAAGTTATGCAAAAATGGTGATAAACGAGCTAAAGAAGTCATTTCACAATATCATTGGTAAATTTTAGAGAGACAAGGTAAGAAGTTGACTACTGATTAAAGTTGTTCAATAACAATTAAAATGCTGACCACTAATTAAACTAAAACAATTTTTTAAATTATTCTGTTATGAGGTACTTTTTAATCAAACATGAGTATCAAATTTTACTAATATTTTCTTCAGAATCCATCATATTGTAACATGCAGATTGCTTCTCAGGCGTTATAAACTAAGTACCTCAACATGTTTATGATTGTTGAGCATCTTTGTCTACCCTAAAATGCAAATTATTTCATGTTTAATAACGTTTAATCAAATACTGATGCCTTCAACGTATG